TACTATCCTGCAGTTATTAGTTCTCCAGCTCTATTGCACACTAATCTAATTATTTAAAATATTTTTCCAGTAATTTATGAAAACTATATAGAAAATTTAGTGAAATTATACAGAAAGATATCACTATTCTTAATTAAATAAAATTGAGTAATTCTAATTACTTTCTATCCAATAATTATTTGGAAAAAAGTAAATCTCAATATCAAGTGTCAATACAATCAAATAATAATCCAGCGATCGACATAGTTTCCAGAAATATTTTCTTTATCCATTACCTCATCACGTAAAACCGACGAACAAGAAAATGGATCACTAAATACTATAACAAACCTAAGGCAAAACAAAAAACATAACATAAAAAATCGTGTCTATACAACAACACATTAAATATTTTTAACGTACATATTGCTATATAATTTAATCATTTCTATTATTATTTAATTTTTATTTTTCGCTCTTGGCTGTCCAGTGCCCGCCTGTTGCTTCTCCCGCTGTGTACATGTACCGTCTTTAGTATATTTTTATCATTCAGAATCAATTCAACTTTATGCTATTATAGTGCCGCCTGTATCAGGTCTTGAAATTTTGAATGGAAGATTTAATTCTCCTTTGGTACGCCCTAATATTTAATACCTAATGGATATACCGCGCAAACATGTATCAATTCAAGACACGTATATAAAGACATATAAGTTATTCTTTACCCCGTGAGTGTTGTATTCTTTCAAAGCAACCGACAGCAATATTTTTCTGGTGAATAAAGATAACTAGAAAGTCAGATGAGAGTTTTTAGTATTTTTTTATTTTTAGCGATTAATTATTAGTTTTTCATATTTTTGGTAATATTTTAATGAATAGATGATAATATAGAACTGAAATTTCCGACTTGAAAGACTTTTTAAAATATTTTCCAATGCGTATTAATTGATTTTTTATAGCTTTTTAAATAATTCCTGTCCCATACATTCATTCATCCAGAATTTACACATGAACTTGGTAGCTATATTTTAATGTTTTTTTGATATCAATATAATTTCAGGGCAGCGCTCGTAACTGCAAGAATTTTTTAGTAGCATAAATAAGGCACGTATTAGAATGACAACATTTATGACGGATTTAACTTTCGAGAGGATGCTTAGATGCGATTAATAATAAACGCTAATGAAACATAATCAAGGGTTTGTTGAAAATAAATTCTCTTTCTGCTTTAAATTTTAATTATAGTCAATTTTCTAGCAGCAAAAATAGAAACACTCTTATTCTGGCTAATTAATTTCTCACAAAACACAATTTTGCAAGTTTTATAGCGTCATTTCATAATTATATTGATGCAATTTTCAAAAGTATGTGTCACAATGTATCATAACGAGACTCTAAACTCGCCGACCAGTGGCCGCCATTACGGAATCATACAGAAATTTTCATCCAACATTTCGCCAGCATTTCTTAGCGGGTAAAACCCAGCTTCCAAGCCTCCAAATTAAAGTCAAAAGAAAGACAGTAATTTTTAATTGAGTTGCCGGGAAAAGTTTCTGTTTCAGCACCGGAAGACCGTAAGAATCTTCATACTTCTGGCGCGAGAGGACCTCACTCGCTGATGGCGAGGGTGAGAAATACTATGAATAATGAAGGAAAAAATTATTATTAGGCAAATTATAAAGCAAATTGTAAAATAAAATTATATCGAGATAATGTTTTTATAAACGCTTCTTGATGTAACCTGTAAATAATAATTGATTAATTAAAATACAAACCATAATATGCTCTTCTCTGGAATTCTTGATTCACATCAATCAACATTGAGGAACATTCCACGTCCACAATCAAGAAGATTATCGAGGAAGGGACCAGCGTTAGTGATGCACTCTGAGTTAATATCCGCTGAATATCCACTAGATTTATGGCTTAATGGGGAAAATGAGAGAAAACACCTTTTATTTAGATTAGATAGTCTTCAATCAACTAAAATAATATAATCTAGTTCAGACACAACAAATAATAAGACGATTTACGAACGATTTCTAAGATTATGTGGAATGATTTATGGACGATTTAACAAATCTTCAGTATGGCTCTGTTAATTTGAATGCTCAGTTTAGTTAAGTATATTCAGTGACTGCCATAGATATGATATCAAGGAGCGAAAAGCCCAAAGCTTCTGAGCTATTGCAGCGAATAGGAGCAAAAGCTCCGGAAATGGCCCCTTTGAATCTCTGAGTCAATGATAGAGAGCAGTCATTATGCATCGATCTCTGAACAATGCAATCATTCGCGTAATGAGTCGATCTCCAGAGTCGTAATGAGTCATTAGATGACCGTCGTTTGCGGGTCTGCACTACAGACCCCAGCCGAGCGACTGATAATTCTACCCTGGAATGTCGGGCCATTAAATCCCTGGCGCCGCTTCATGGAGTCCTAATGCAACAGAAATAAATTCGGAGAAAGTTTGAGACGAGTTCAATTATTGAATAATGAAGCCATTGTGAACTGAAACAAGCGCCGAAAATAGTAAAATTCTGGACAATAATATCTGGAATGGCAATTTTGGATAGGCAAGAGTTAAATAATATGTGAAATAATACAGCTGAAGGGCGCTGCTCAACACAGAGAGCAGTGATGAATGAATTTAGAAATTGTGCGTGATTAATTAAAATCGGAAGTTTCAAAACAAAGAGAATATTGTGATACTCTGTTATCGCGGGCACGTCACTCTTTACTCACATGATGTGTAGCGCGTTCGTCTAATCTTGACTTGGTCAGATTGATATACTGGTGGTAATTATAAAATAATTTACGGCTCGTAAGTAATGACGTATGAGTAATTAACAATTGGATGAAATGAAGCATTAGCGAGACATTCAAGAATGTATTTATTTCCTAAATTGAATGGTCTATACCACACTTGAGGCATTTCTGTTGCAGAAGAGTTAAGCATCCACACAAAAGAGAGCCATTTATATTTTAATTTATAAGAACGAGATTGTTCAATCAAACCATTAGTATACCCGTGCCAAAATTAAATAACCCGCGCCAGCGAAAATAAAATCACAATCAAACTGAAAATGAAAAGTATTAATAAACAGAGACACATTATTTGGCAACATTTATTTGTTATCCTGTTTTACAAGGGCTTCATGTCTTTTCTCGACGAAAGCCACAAAAGTTCTCGTTCGTATAACCACAAATGGGAGCCAATATTAAAGAAAAATTTACCCCAACCACATTATCCCCTCAAAGAGAAAGTTTCCTTTCTTCGTCTATGTATTTTCAAAAATTCCTAATTGTACCGATGAGAATGACGTGGTTGTTGTGCAAAATTACAATATTTATTTTTAGTCAATAAAGAAAATTGTCGGCGCTGAAGTTTCTTGAATTGTCTGAATTTAAAGTGAATTGTCTGTACTGAACAAAAATTACTCCGCTGAAGTTTCACCGAAAGTGCAAGAAGTTACCCTTTTAAAATTACCCTTAGATTTGAAAAATTTACCCTCTATCGAAGATCAAACAATAATTTTATAAGAGGATTACATTGACCCAGTTGGCAAAGCCGGGCAAGTTAGGTTGTATATTTGACGAGAGTTTGTGAGGTTCCATAGCTACGGCGAGAAGGATAGGAAAACTAGTTGTAGTATCAGTAAGTCTATGTGTAATCCTACATTTAAAGCTCCACGATAATCAGCACAAGAGAATTCTTGGGTTCTGTTCATCCAGCTCGATCAAGGAGACTGGCTCACTTCCTAGAGTTCTGAGCGATTGACTCGAATAGAAACTTTGTTCGCTATTCCAGAAAATGGAAAAGACAGGATCTTCCGCAAGATTGTTTCTTCAGCAGCTCTCCTCAAACAGCACTTTTGACTTTCTTCAGTTTGCAGAGCCGAAGTTTCTTGGCATCAGCTACCTCATGAATTTCGGTTACCCCACTTGACAATTCGAGTTCATTCTGGAAATTGCAGCGGTTCTATTATTGTATTTCTTGTATAGAATTATATAAACATAGGAGAATACCACGATTCCATCATCGAATATTATTTATACATGAACGTCGACAAAGAAGAACATTATTTTACCATCTTATTGAACATGTTCGTATTAAAAAGGAGTATGGGATTATTAAAGGATAATGGCCATTGCCGATTACTGACCTCAAAAATTGAATTTTATCCATATTACCTATTACTGAACAGCAAAAAAGGTAATTTATCAGAAATGTCTTTTCGCTCTTTCCTATCGCAGAGACATACAAGACTCCCTGACACGAGTTTCTTGAGAGGGTCAAACTCATTTCGCATTTATGACTTACCGAGGTCAGGCCTAACTGTCTGAGATTTGCATACTGAACCATATTCTGTACAGTCTCCTATGACATGACCGCTTCATATCTACATCGTTCGTCATAGGCTTGGAGCTTACCGCAAATTGCGATTCATGTCATTCATGTATGAGATTCAACTTGCCGGTGAAATGAATGCATACTGTGAATAACAATAGGCTTAGAATATTAACACATGAGCTTTTCCGCAAAATAAAAAGTCAACCTAACATATTCGGATCAATCTCATCGAATATTAACCCTATATTTTCTCGTATACTTATGCCCATTAAGTTTTTTCTCAAATTGAACTCTACAAATTTTAAACAGATGGAGTATAATTTCGAAGAATTTGTGCTTAAAATTTTTTTTAGTGTTTTGTATAATGAATCATCGACACCTGTATCAATCAATCATGACCGTAATTACTTTGGGAGTATTGATAATTTCAAATGTAATACCAAATTCAAACTCCCAACTGCAATGATAGACATTGGCATGAAAGAACATTTGCGGTTATAAACAGATTAATTCAATACAACACGGGGTAGGTGATTACGAGATTTCAGCGCAATGATGGCATCATATCCACTGTTATCGTAATCAGTTCGCGTTTCACATCTGTGCCTCATTTACTTCGATTAATTTTTGCCTGCCGAGTTTCCTGCTTCCCTTCAATGACGAGACTTGCATCTTGTTCTCTGCAGGCCGGCGCTGCCCTGCAGAGGCGACGATGTGTCCACCAGCAGGCCGGCGCTGCCCTGCAGAGGAGGCGATGTGTCCACCAGCAGGCCGGCGCTGTCCTGCAGAGGTGGCGATGTGTCCACCAGCAGGCTGGCGCTGCCCTGCAGAGGAGGCGATGTGTCCACCAGCAGGCCGGCGCTGTCCTGCAGAGGCGGCGATGTGTCCACCAGCAGGCCGGCGCTGTCCTGCGGAGGCGGCGATGTGTCCACCAGCAGGCCGGCGCTGCCCTGCAGAGGCGGCGATGTGTCCACCAGCAGGTCGGCGCAGCCCTGCAGGCCGGCGCATGGAACAACTTGTGTCAAGAGCTCGGGAGTTGCGCTGGCATAACAGGGACTAATTGAAATCATTTCGCGTCAATTCGTAAACGCCTCTTAATTAAAAGTCCGATTCCGGCGTCAGACAGCGGCCCTCTCTGAATAATGGCTGTCACAGTCGGCTTAATTTGAAGTCCAAGTGAGAGCCGTGCGCAATCGCTTTCGAATATTTCATATTCATTTCTCAAGAGATTATAATTGAGCCTCAAATATCAAATGCGTAAACTTAAGATAAAAATATTACAGACTCTGAGCGATTTCCAGGAAACATGAAGACATTTCGCTCGAAGGAGAGGCAACCGGTTTAAACTTTATATAATTTTTTCTAAATAAGTTTAAATACCTTACATTACAAGAAGCGAATTGATTTTGTCATTTACTCACTATAAAATATTATTTATGGCAGTAAAATTAATTTATTTTAAATTAATTATACCCAAGTGTTTTTCTCCACCGAAATATTATCCGCATAAAATACAACGCGGTAATACATAAATAATGTAAAGCTATAATCCCTGAGCGTGACCAGTGATGGACTTAACAAAGTATTATTAAAAAGGAATTGAAGAGCAAAGAAAACACCAAGCAAATTCACCATATCGATATTGAAAACGTTTCGGAGTCCAACTTCATCATCAGTTCGAAAAACTAAAAATGAATAAAATCATATTATTATATCAAAATTCTAAGACAGACATACAACCTAAACAAGACCTAACATTATATAAAAAAAACAGGACTCGATTGAAACAACTTAGTCCTAGGGTTCACTGAACTTATGTCACTAGGGTTTATGTCTGTCTTTGAATTTTGGTATAATAATATGATTTTATTTTACTTTTAGTGTTTCGAACTGATGATGGAGCTGGACTCCGAAACGTTTCCAATATCGATATGGTGAATTTGCTTGGTGTTTTCTTTGCTCTTAAATTCCTTGTGAACTTGCGATATAAGCAGACTGATAATATAAGTTTTATAAAAGTATTATGTAAATTTTAATTTTTTCTTTACATATATTTCGGTTTCTAATATAATTCAGTTTAAAATATTATTTGAGAATAATCTCTGCAGCGAAAAAATAATACAAGAATGGATTAAACACATAGTATGGTTTGACAATTCATTGCTTCACTAGGTTAAGTGAAATACAAGGTTCGATCAAGTTTCCCAATTTTGAGAAATTTGTTTTCCCAATTTTGACGAATTAATACAGTTTAGCTAACATTTTTGCAGCTAAACAGGTGCTGTATGAGTTGCCTAAATATATTAAACAAAAACTTTCATCAGTGGTTGTTAACTTATTGCACAAATATATTTTAAAATAAACACGCCTCGGCATGAGGCATCAATAACGGCTCATTTATACTTGCGTGACAAAATTATTCTCAAAATAATAATAAACATTTCTAGATCAAAGCTAAATATCATTGACTGAATTCAGTTGATGATTTTACATGCATGTAACAAGATAAACAATTAATTGCAGGCATTTCGATCACTTATTTGCTACAATGATTTCTCTTCTAAAATTGTATGAAAGTGATCGAAAATTGAATATACATAAATGAAAATTTTCATTAACGGAACGGCAAACGTGTAAAAATAATCATTATCGTGATTATTAAACGAATTAAAACTTCCTTTGAACGTAAGCCGTGACGCATACAAAGGCCTCAGTGAGCGCATAAAATTATTGCTGTGGAGGTGGGAAAAATAATCGAAAAGGCACACGGGCTTTATTGTTTTTAGTCATTGAAATGAGAAATTTCACAGTTAGGACTTATCAATCTCTTGTCCTTGTCTACATTTGTGAAGTTTTTGAAAATGAGCTATTGGGAAGGTTTTTAAGGCGCGCCATCTGCTGTTATGGGTATATATTTGTCTCAGAAGTCCTTTGCAATACGTTCATAATTTGCAATAACTAAATATGCATTAATTTTACTTAAAAATTGTGGTACAGCAGCATCGCCTAGGCTCCTTGGCGATTGTGTTTACTGGCCTTATTCATTTATAATTAATAAATAAATAATTCAGTTGTTTAAAGTCTCCAGCGTCAATCGTAATTTCCACTCGTTCCGCTTTTGCGAGCAGTTTCTATAACAGGCCCAAATCAGCTGTGCTTTGAGTTGGTCTCGAGCTGCCGACTTTTATAGGCTCAGAAATTCACGAGGTCTGGTCGCTGGCTCACAACGGGTGTCGGTAACGAGGCATGCAGTCGAGAAAATACAGGAATACGAGGGTGGTATGAAAATTGGGAACTGGAATGATACAATCGGGAAAAACTAAATTCATACATTACATTGATGAATAGTATTCCGAAATGGACTCTTGTTAGGTTATTTTGCTTGAAATATAAAGAATCCTAATGGAACGTAATTCGGTCGCTTAATTGGTACAAAATATCATCCATGAATGCCGCAGTTCAATAAAACAACTAATCTGACAGGTTTAGAATACGTAAAAACGCCAGAAATGGTAGCGTTCAGTTCTAAAATGCATGTCTTTTAGCACGTAGTACAACTAATTTGTGTTAGCCAGAATCGACCAATTGACGTTCGACATTCCTGCACGCGTTGCCCTAGATCTCAGCTTAATTCTAGCACACACGTTTGATTATAGTTCGTGTTACAAGGGAGATGTGTAAAGTCACTCTCTGAGGGCGAGATCATTAAGGGGCGCTATCATAACCACCACCTGCCGCTTATAATAGACGTCTTTTAGCCAGATAATGGCAGTACTCCTCTGTTATTGCGACAAATTACAGGCTCTCAATGTTCTCAGATTGCATGAGGCTGAAAAGAGCTGCCGGTCACTGATAGAGTGACACGAGAAACTCGGAGGTCAAGAGGAGCCTGTCTCTCGCTTGGTTGCCTCAAGCACGATAGGTGACGTGAAAGACTCGGTCAAGAGGAGCCTGACTCTCGCTTGGTTGCCTCAAGCACGATAGGTGACGTGAAAGACTCGGTCAAGAGGAGCCTGACTCTCGCTTGGTTGACTCAAGCACGATTTAGGTGACGTGAAAGACTCGGTCACGAGGAGCCTGTCTCTCACTTGGTTGCCTCAAGCACGATAGGTGACGTGAAAGACTCGGTCAAGAGGAGCCTGACTCTCGCTTGGTTGCCTCAAGCACGATAGGTGACGCGAAAGACTCGGTCAAGAGGAGCCTGACTCTCGCTTGGTTGACTCAAGCACGATAGGTGACGTGAAAGACTCGGTCAAGAGGAGCCTGTCTCTCGCTTGGTTGCCTCAAGCACGATATAGGTGACGTGAAAGACTCGGTCAAGAGGAGCCTGTCTCTCGCTTGGTTGCCTCAAGCACGATAAGTGACGTGAAAGACTCGGTCAAGAGGATCCTGACTCTCGCTTGGTTGCCTCAAGCACGATAGGTGACGTGAGAGGCTCGGTCAAAAGAAGCCTTACCCTCACTTCATTGCCTCTAGCTTGGATAGCTCTAGTGAAAAACGAGTCGTGACCAACAACCAATTTGTGCGACAGTTCACAATTCAGCTGAGGAAATTTTGATTCAAATCATATCTCTACGTTAATGAGTAAATGTTGCTCCCCATGACTATCATTAGTAGTAGTATGAAAAAAATCTGTTTCAGTTATCCTTCTCGGTTTATTTTAGAACTAATTCAAAAATTGCTAAACTTTCCGATTACGTGTAATTGGTATCGAAAGGTAAACATTTCGTAGATTGTGCTGTTACTTAGAAGAGGCTGTGTAAATTGTGCTGCTTATATTGTGTTGTGTAGATTGTGTTCAATAGACTGTGCTGTGTTGATTGTGTTGTGTTGATTGTGCTGTGTAGATTGTGTTGTGTGGATTGTGCTGTGTAGATTGTGTTGTGTGGATTGTGCTGTGTAGATTGTGTTTTGTAGATTGTGCTGTGTATATTGTGTTGTGTAGATCGTGCTGCGTAGATTGTGTTGTGTAGATAGTGCTGTGTATATTATGCTGCGTAGATTGTGCTGTGTAGATTGTACTATGTAGATTGTGCTGTGTAGATAGTGCTGTGTTTATTGTGCTGTGTAGATTGTGCTGCGTATGTTGTCCTGTGTAGATCGTGCTGTGTAGGCTGAGCTGTGTAGGTTGTACTGGATAGACTGAGCTGTGTAGATTGTGTTGGGTAGACTGAGCAGTGTAGGTTGTGCTGGGTAGACTGAGCTGTGTAGACTGAGCTGTGTAGACTGTGCTGAGTAGACTGAGCAGCGTAGACTGAGCTGTGTAGACTGGGCAGCGTAGAATGAGCTGTGTAGACTGTGCTGAGTAGACTGAGCTGTGTAGACTGTACTGAGTAGACTGAGCTGTGTAGACTGAGCTGTGTAGACTGTCATGAGTAGACTGAGCTGTGTAGACTCCGTAGACTGAGCTGTGTAAACTGTGCTGAGTAGACTGAGCTGTGTAGACTGTACTGAGTAGACTGAGCTGTGTAGACTGAGCTGTGTAGACTGTCATGAGTAGACTGAGCTGTGTAGACTCCGTAGACTGAGCTGTGTAAACTGTGCTGAGTAGACTGTGCTGTGTAGACTGTACTGAGTAGACTGAGCTGTGTAGACTGAGCTGTGTAGACTGTCATGAGTAGACTGAGCTGTGTAGACTCCGTAGACTGAGCTGTGTAAACTGTGCTGAGTAGACTGTGCTGTGTAGACTGTACTGAGTAGACTGAGCTGTGTAGACTGAGCTGTGTAGACTGTCATGAGTAGACTGAGCTGTGTAGACTCCGTAGACTGAGCTGTGTAAACTGTGCTGAGTAGACTGTGCTGTGTAGACTGTACTGAGTAGACTGAGCTGTGTAGACTGAGCTGTGTAGACTGTCATGAGTAGACTGAGCTGTGTAGACTCCGTAGACTGAGCTGTGTAAACTGTGCTGAGTAGACTGTGCTGTGTAGACTGTACTGAGTAGACTGAGCTGTGTAGACTGAGCTGTGTAGACTGTCATGAGTAGACTGAGCTGTGTAGACTCCGTAGACTGAGCTGTGTAAACTGTGCTGAGTAGACTGTGCTGTGTAGACTGTACTGAGTAGACTGAGC